ATGGTTGAAATAAATACGCCTATCTATTATCTTCACTTACTTGATTTAAAGTTAATTATGAAAGGATTTGAAATTTGCATTGATTGAACACTGTATTTCTAATATTCATTAAAAAGGCATTATTTATAGTAAATACTAGGAACTGTAACTTATGGGAATAGGTAATAACCAGCTGTGGTAAATGATCAAACCAAATATAATAAGAATTTGACGTTAATAAATCAATAATATTTTTTTATTATTACATTGATCATTACATAAGTGTTTAAAGCTTATTGAATGATGCTACTAAATAAATCAAACTGATTTATAATATGCCATTAACTTATTAATTATCATTTAATTGACTAAAACAAAAACTTACGGTAAAAACGTGAAAAAGTCAATAAAGATTCAAGCACAAGAATGACAAGATTGATACATGTGGTATAAATCAATAAACAGTCTAATATAGCTGATTATATTGTATTCATTCGTGCCTACTTATTTCCTTACGCCTGTTACTCCTCGTGAACGAGCATAGGCCGCTCACCTGCATTCTCCATCCAACTCTGTACCAGTCAGTTCTTTCCACTTGATTCCAGTTGCTATTCATCATTTTCATGTCTGTTTCTAATTACCGACACAGTGTGTTCTTTGGTCTTCCACTTTATCGTTACCCTTCAGGATTCCAAGTTAGAGCTTGCTTCGTAATGCAGTTTGATAATTTCCGTAATGTATGTCCTATCCACTTCAAACATCTTTCCCTAATTTTCTCTTCAACTGGGAGTTGGTTTGTTCTCTTTCGCAGTAGGCTGTTGCTAATTTTATAAGATCATCGGACACTGAGTAAGTTGCGCAGACAATTGTTTATAAACACTTGTACATTTTTGATCATAATTGTAGTAGTTCTACTTTCCATAGTATCATGATGAGATATCGTTCTTTTCAGTCTGTTGATGGCACTTGTTCTTCCTCCCAAATCCTCCTGTATAGAACAAGGAGCATGTTTATAGATACGTATATGTCAGACTTCAGCTGGTATGTTGTCAGGTCCTGCTGCTTTTCCACCTATGATTTATTTGATAGCAATCCTGATTTCTTCAATCATCGGTGGAGGTCTTTAGGAGCTGCTTCAATGATCGGTGCGCTCAATGAGACCGAACCATTCAAGAGTTTCTCAAAGTGTTCTACCCACCTGTTCCTCTGTTTTTGAATATCAGTGATTGACTTGCCTTCCTTGTCCTTCACTGGTCTCTGGTTTGTAATACTTTCCTGCTAGTTTTTTCGTTATATTATATAAATGTTTCATATTCCCTTCTCTTGCAGCTGTTTCCACTGTCGTTGCTAGCTCTTCCACGTATTTCTGCTTGTCGACTCCAATATCCTTCTTCACTTACTTGTTTGCTTCTGTGTATTTAGCTTGTGCCTTGACTTTCTCTGTTCTTGTTCGGCTGTTGTTAATTACTATCTTCTTGTTCTATCTTTTTTGAATCTCGTCCAGGGTTTCGATAGAGATCCATTTCTTATGATGATGCTTCTCACGACTCAGAACATCTTGACATGTTGAAGTTAGTGCTTCTTTGATCCCTTTCCAATTGCCCTTCACAATAGTTTCTCCTTCTGTGAGTAGATCGTGTAAGACTTGGAACTGTTGTTGACAGCTCTCTTGAAATCGTTGAGTTTGTCAGTATCTCAAAGAAAGACTGTATTGAATCTTTGTAATGCTGTTTGCCCAGTTGTCCATTGCTTCTTTAGCTTCATTTTCATCTTGATAACCACAACAGCTTATAACCATTTTGTTGAATGCACATAGATTTGCAAATCCCTCACTATTCTTATTCCTTTCTTCCAGCCATTCCAAACCACGTCATCCCATGATATCTTCATACCCGACGTTGTCCATTCCGACTTTGGCGTTTAGGTAACCCATCAGGATGATCGAGTCCTTTCCTGAATACTTCTCTATGATCTACTGCAGCCTCTCGTAGAACCGATCTTTATCGTCACTGTTGTTATAATCGGTGAGTGGGTAACATTGGATAACATTCATTGTGATTTCCTTACTCTTTGTTTTGAAGGATGCTTTGATGATTTTGGATACATGATATTCCCATCCTACAAGTGCTTTATGTGCTTCTCTGGATAACATCAGAGCAACACCCCGAGTTATCAGAGCATTTTCTTCCTTGTGATTATAGTACAGCAGCATCTCTCCTTTTCTATCCAGCTTGGTTCCAATGGGTTTCACTGGTCCCGAGCACCACCAAGTTGTATCTCTTCATTTCCTTCCGGTCTCCCACATTGTTCATGTTATAACGCTCGATTTTACTTCGTCTACACGTATGGGATGTTAATTTACCTCAGACGAATATCTACACTAGATTCCCTTCCAGAGTCTATTCTACAGGACTTCAACACAATTCAAATCAAGAACACGTGATTAGCCTGACAAGAACGTAAATTTAATTCCACCCCAAAACCCAACGAAATCCAAAAACAATGAATAATCAGTTAATAATAATAATAATAATAATAAGGATAGAGGAATATATAACTCATCTAACACTTGTCAGACTATCTACATGTCTGACTAAACAGACAACCAATCATTAACAATCTTTCCCACACATCAGTTATGATATTCTATGTACCTATATTATATTAGAAGGTCATTGGCCTTAAGACTTCCGAAGAATATCGGTTTTCACTATAAGGCATCATAATTCTTCTTAATGAAGATACTTAAACATGGAGGACAGAGTTTAAATAGTTTAATGTCAATAGTTGAGATCACGAGTTAAATGAAGCTAGACTACCATGGAAAACCTGGAAGCACTAGACGACCATTTCGTCCTAGTGTGGGATTTCTCGGTAGTGCGCATCCACGACACCGCTCGCGAGGTTCGAACACAGGACATACCGGTCTCACGCGCGAACGTTTAAACTCTACAAATGTGTTAATGTCTAACTTCAACTAATTCACGAAGGTGAGTAACACATCCATCACTGTCTTCAGTGAGTTACTATCTAACAACAGACCCGATTGAACTACACTGGTCACTGCATCTCACTTGAACTCCAGGATATACCTCTTGAAGTCTATCATTCATGAGTATATAATGATTAGTATCAGAAGGGGTTTGTAGAGATATTAGTGCTTCCAGATTATTATTGGTGTTCCAGATTCAATTAACTCATGATCTCAACAACTGAAATAACTACAATCTCCGCAAAACCCTTTATGATAGTTTGTGTGTTTATTCTGGTTGGCGATATTTTAGATAAGTTGAATGAAATAGCTGCTATTGTAAAAGCAAAAGTGTTGTGAATTATCAGACTGTCTGACTAGTTAGTAGATTTGAGGTGGTTCCTCACAATTCCAAATACCTGACATAATCCAAATGTTACTTCTGCTCACCCACTTCAACATCATCTCTTTTTCGTTCACTTTCTTATTGAACATTAAATATATTACTTACTACAATTCAGTAACTCATGTTTCTCTAGTGCTATGTGCGATAATCACGTACATTCGCTCACAGGTTTCGTGACACTCAACTGATTTCTTTGTTATTTCAATTTTATCTCCTTCAAATCCATAATAATCTATTTTCATTTCATCCATACTTATTAAAATCTACTTGATTGAAATACTCCTGATATTTGGTAGTTCAGTTGAAATCGCATTTCCTGAACAAAACATTCAACACAAAATGTTGAAAGGTACATTTGTGTTGGTTGGTATAACAGAATAAACCAAACAGTATAAGCCTCGTTACAATAGAACTGCTTCAGACATCAATTAAACAAGTAGACGTATTCCTGCATATTATCATCCAACAATTTGAGTATTATCATTGGCAATGAAATAACTGCCGTGACACTGAAGGATAACATCATATGTGTAATATCGATACTCAATATGGTTGATACAATTATGCAACACAATAACCGAGTGTAATATTTCAAGTAATGCGAACCAAGTTCACGAATACGAAAGTATACTTGCACTGATAAAATTCATAGAAATTCAATACAGATGGAATAGATCTTATCCACCAGTTGACCGGTGGAGTTATTTTGAACTAATCATAGTTACGCAATTTTGAACAATCATCATATCGACTTTCTTCGCAGATGAGCAAACGAAATGTACTTCACACTTAACATAGTTTGCATTAGTACATCAATTACATCTAGAGCTACATCATTTCAAATATCTTTACTTCCAGATAGTGAATTTGATGACAAATGAAATTTGGTTAATCAATGACAATTTGAACACATAAGAGGAAACGGCAATTTGATGCAGACAAACAATTCGAATTACATCCACGTCTACAAAAGTCAATTGGGTTTGTCAGTAGTTTCGATGATTTCGAATTCCTTTTTCAAACCATTCAACTAGTGCTTGTTGACTGACTCTGATTAAGATACATTAACGATGCTATATAAAATCTTATACATAACTGAACACATGAATGCCATCAAAAGTGATTTCTCTGTTCATAATAAAACGGATGAGTGAATGGGTTTAGCAAATACAATGTGCAGTTGTTAGTATATATAAAGATATATAGACAAGTTGCATTTAGAAACAGAAAGGCATCATTCACTTGGAAACATGAACACACACCATCAACAACGACTATTCAAAGTAAGAACAATCAATTAATGAAAATCTAATGCAAAATCAATAGGATAATAATATATTACTTCCACATTCCCAATCACTATCTACACAAAATCAACGGTATAATACAAACTACAAATAGGATGATTCACAGAAACTCCCTTTCACAGTTGACAAAACAAACTCACAGTGATCAGTTCATTCAAAACTGAATATTCTCAATTACGATTCTGCTTAATCACGTACACAATAAATAGAAATGAACACAAGTGAACAAACACTGAAATTCTCATATTCATCATTCTTTCTTGTTCTACTGCATCATCAAAAGTACACAATTACAAGTGGAAATATCACATTGAGACATCACACAAACTGTCTATATCTAAGATAATTTAATGTTGAGAAACAGTAAAATAAATCCAGAATATGAGAAAGTGAGTAAGAACAAATGAACCATTGATGCAAATATGAAATCTTCAGATCTGTAGTAGATTGCTCTTCCTCCACAAAATATTTGAGCTTCAATTAAACTAGCCTAAAATCACAATAACAATGTACAAATTGAAATTCACAATATTCAATGCTGATTATTTGTTTATCTAATATCAAATGATTTTGAATTGTAATTCACTAACTGACTTGTTTGTAAGTGAAATATGACTGCATAATTTGATGAATGTTAAAGTGATGATGTAAACACTATCTGAATATCTCTTCCTACACTCTGCTAGTATTTGTCATTCCCCAAATGCCTTGGTACGATCGAGAGTGAAGAGAGTCAACTCCCTCTCTCGAAATGCTCTCATATGGTTATGCGTATACAACCACTGCCAGGGAAATCCTAGGAACCCAAGCGGTATCATAGCTCCATTACGAATCGAATGATTTACGTGGCGGATATCCATCTGGTGCATTTGTGTAGTTCAGTTTATGTGTTTAAACACATCACTAATAAATAAATTTACATCATTTACAGGAGATATGTTGAAGAAGTCCAATATTAGTTGGTATGTTACCTAACCCTATAGGGAAACAGCAGGTTTCTAATTTCATGAATTTACCTAAAGATTACGCAGTAGTTAAAGATTAATTTCAGTATCTTAATATCTCTACAAATGTTTGTTGAGATTTCCTATAGAAATAATTATGGTACGTAGTTCGATGAAACAGATTCACAGCGTATATTAACAGTAAACACATTGTTAACTCTATAGCCTACTAAAATTATAGGCTTTAATCTTAACTTATTCGATGCATCGATTTGTGTTGAAGGAAGGTGAATAGAAAGTAATCTCATTTCATTCAGACTACTATTCACTCACCGGAATTACGATGGCTAGAACAAGGGGACCAATTGCCCACGTCACCTGAAATTCAAAGCTAAATTAATTATCAGTAGGCAAATCAATTATTTAACTGTCAGTTTCATTCGAGCCACCACTCAATCACATGTGACATCAAGTTAATTTTTGTGTCACTAAATCCAATCAATCTCATACATGTTGTATTAGTGAGAGATAAGAAGAAAATTGAAAATGTGAGTGTTCACAAATGAAAACAATGAATGAAAATGAGACTGAGTGCAGTGCTATTTGGTAACCATTAGGAAAATGACCGTCAATGAATCTCTGTTCATATTTGATCAACGGTAAATCAATTTTTATCTCGAGGATTTATCAATGCACAGGATGTACGAGAACTCGATTAGATAATTTTTCAATTGAATCCACATTACGGTGAACTGGAAGTGTCTGAATTGCAACATTATTTTTTTTAAACGTTAGACTCACAGAATGAAATAATGAACCTGAATTTGATGACCATTTATTTCAACACTGATGGCATAAATACATGAACTAACAATGTTGACTATGGTGTTCTCTTTGAACACTGATAGAATTTAGTTCATAATAATCATTAACAATTATCAACGGTGAAATACGAACTGAACTACTGTACTCTCAATAATTCATCTCACCAATACTCTTAGAAAGGTATCTGTGAATAAACAATATTGAAAGAAATGCTCCCATCTACAATCTTCAATTCAACAATCCCATTTTCATATTTATACTGATTAAACACTACAATTCAAATATTGTCTGAACATAACTGATACACAACAAATGCAATGCACTGCATAATATGCAAATGCTGAACAATCAAATTCAGTGATTGATCAAACCAAATAAAATGGGATCTCAACAATGGTGAAACAGTGGTGGGGTTTATTGTAGCTATGTTGATGATCACAAAATGAATCATGTATAAGAGTGAACGTGTTTACTTCCGGTGTGCATTCACAGCTTATTAAATAATACTAGTGGATATGTAACACTGAATTAGAATATGCCATGTAATGTACTAAAATATTAACTAATTAAAACTCACCTCAGGAACTTCATACTTCCATGGGATTAATAGTACAAGAATGATAAGAATGACGATAATAACATAAAATATAAACGAGCTAAAATAACTGACCAAATCACGTTTAATGTTTATTCCAAATATAAACAATAACACTGAGAGAATGATGGCCAAAATCCAACTGATAAATATGAACATTCCTTCCACGTTGATTGAAAGACAGGTTATCACACCAGCGAAGCTGAATGTCTTGGAGTAAAGGGAATAAAGAGGATTGTCATAAAGACATATTTTCCATTGAACTATATATACGAATGTACAGCTTAAGTAAATGATTTCGTCGAAAAGAAAATTTACTTCTCTCTTTCTTATTCAATGACATCATGGGTTATTTTAATTGACATTTATATCAGCAAAACCGCCTTTATTTGACAGAAATTGTGTGCTGAATTACCATAAAAGAAGAAAAATATCTTTGTGTGACAATTATTTAGATAGTAGAACATACTGAAAATGTTTAGGTATTGATTGATTGCAGATAGACACTGTTCATGTAAATAGAGAATTTTCACATATCCACCTCGTCAGTGTTGTATCCCGATAAGAATAGTGAATGGTAATTTTCGGGACCCATTTATGGACCAATATTATGAGTATATTTTTGGCGTATAATGGTTAAGTAACTAATCTGTTCGTATCCATGTCCCTCTTATTATAAGCTTTATTTTGACCTATGAACGATTATTATACGATTTACCATTCTTATGTTGTGGCCTGTCTATTGATTCCTATCTCCCTCATTCACAGCCACATCTGGCTTATTATTGTACAAATGTTGTTTCATATTTTATTGGTACGTTGTGGTCTGTTTGATCGGTATATAAACTCAGTATGTTTGAAATATAACGATTCATATCTCTGAGGCTGAGAAATGTGTTCTGGACATACCTGGCTCTGCTAGACAGGGAAGCAGGACCAATCAGGACTCTAGGCTGCTTGCACGTGTTTCATGCGTCAATGTTTCAATCGATAATTCGCTGCTGCTCTAATAGGCGGGTCACAAGATATAACAGTCTGTCATCGCCTTGTGAGGGATTTAGTGAACAGAGAGCACATATACGACATATACACATATACACATATACCACGTCTGATGAATTGGTCATCAAATACAATACATGTTTGTCCATATCTAGCCACATCAGTAACTCATTTTGCACATCCACGAAATAGTCTAGTTTATGTAACGACTAACATAATGATGTGACATCGTATTGGGATTCTGTAATATTAAATCAATTTTATGTTATTTTAGGCCAATATTTTACACACATTCGTCCATTGCTAACAAATACAACTTACGAGTAGTACGTAAAGGAAATCCGTGAGGTATTTCAAATGTGGAAATCTCTGAATAAAGAAAATTGCAATGGTTGCACCAATAGAAATGAAACTGTAATGTAAATGATGAATAGTCAAAATCAATTCAATAACATAACTAGATGCAATTTTGAAAATGTAGTTGAGAAAATAATGCAATGAATGATGTGGGGCGTATCGTATAAATCCTGTAGAAATGTACACGTAGTTGAACAGTCCAATCATGCAGTACCATTCAATCGTATACATTAAAGGATAGACTATTATGGAATCACATGAATGATCGATGATACTGAAATGTCTTCAATGTTATTTATACTAGATTTGTGGTATTTACGATGTTTTCTTATTATGTTTTATATAAACGAAAGAATAATTATAAATTTGTCATTTAACTCAACTCATTTTAACATAATAACTTCGCCTGGCGCCTCCCTGACATTACTGCCGGTCCCAAGTCCCGATAAAAGAGAAGGGTTGTACATGGGATTAGCGACCCCTTTCGGTAAAAAACTAATTAGCTAAACAAACGTTAACTAGCGAAAAGTAATTTTAATATAATAATACACAATATATGTGTACCATATACATGTCTGTTGTGTCCTATACTAGCTAACTAAATGCATTTATAATATATGATGTTATATTCCTATTCTTATACGAATTTACTACACTTACCTTAAAATAAGAGATAAATAAAAATTTTGATCAAGCATGACAAAGAATTTAAAACTGAAATATGATTATTAAATAATTGGAACACTGGCAAGTTACAAACTTTGCGAACGCTAATGCAGTCATGAACATTGATAGAAAGACTTGAAGGATATTGGTTAGAAACACCTACATTCTGAAACGAATATTTTCAATTGAATTCTACTTTCAATATTAATCGAATGCGTACTGGATCAACCATTCCAGATAACGTGAAATCGTTACAGATTACCACTTGATGATTATATTTGATTCCATCATTGTAGATATGTGATCCTGATAAGAGAGGATGAGATATAAGATTAGAATTAAGCAACTGATTATATAAAACAATCTGAATTGACTGGCACTGTTATGATATGTGAGTATTGTGAACAAAAGTGTTACAGAAAGATTTTTCATCTTTGACCAAAGTATAGTCAATTTACGTAGCAGTGATAAAATGGATCTACTATAGTTCGGTGTTTCTCAACAGTTGCTTCAAACCTCATCACAATAATATTAAGCATAAAATGTCGGTCTACATACGTCATGTTAGAAGAGATCTCTTCAGTGGAAATTAATGAAAACATTGAGAAGTATGAAAAAAACGATATGTTTGTAAATGAAATCAATTGAACATTTATTGGTTGAATAAATGATTATTCTATTAGTTTATTCAAGAGATTCATTTCGAAATAGAAGAATACTAGACTCAGTAAGTCACTTTTATGAATGTATTTGTGGTAGCAATAAGTAGTGTCAAATTGTGTTATTTAACTCCATATATACGATTAGTTCTGTTGAAGAATGTGATCTCGTATCAAACAACTAAAGCCGATGGCTATATTATAATAAAGCATGAGCTTTAAGCGATAATAAAATGTACTTGGCAAACATCGATCAATTATCGAAATGTATTTACATCACTCAATTGGTTTTACTTAAATGTTCCCAACAACGTTGATCCAAAGTAAATTAATGTAAGTACGAACCTTCATTTGGATGTTTGTGCAACATTGGTTGTGTGCTCCTTATAGCTGATAAACTGAATCAACTTTATTTTATAAACGATCAGTGACCATTAAATACAGAATAAAGAACAATACAACTTTTGATCAGATCAAAGTTTGCATAGTTAGTTAGTGCTTACTAGCGTGATCCACTTAACAATTATATAGTTCAATAAATGAGACAATGATTATCCATATGTGAGAACAATCAATTCACATTGCACACGATATATATTGGATATATGTTAATTATCAAACAGATTATGGTCGATTTACAGGGAGTGATTTGGTTATACATCTCAGTTTCAAATGTTCAACTTCAAATACACACAGTAATTCACACATGAGTGTTAACTGAACGGATCAGGTCTGTATGATCTTCAAGTTACTGAATATATTATTCGTGTTATTAATGGGTAGAGTCAAATGAATGTCATTTCTGAAACGAGTTTGTTTTGGTGGATGAGAAAGCATCTATAAAATGATGATATTTTCACTAAACTATGTGCACATATTTGAGGCTTCATTTCGTACTTATCAAAATAATTATTTGCTTAGTTAAATATGTCACAAATACGTGTATTGTGATGCATGATGTTTTAATATAATCCATTCAACTGATGATTATACAAGGTATCCAAATTCAAAACTGTGTGAATATATTTTAGATAGAGAGAGGAAACCATATATAAGTCACTCGAAAATATATTGTATACATAGTATAATCGAGATGTCTCGACGTGTTTATCTACAGAATAAAGTTCACATTATTATTAACATAAAGAATGGTGAGAGAATAAATGCCTTTAGTAGCACTTCAGACATCTTCAAACTCACCTTGATATTCCGAAGACAGATAGTGACAGATAGTACCACTGTGTAATGTTTAGTTTACTTTTCATGTTGAAAAACATACTTTTATTTAAAACATGTCATTATGAATTTGATAGTTATTGGTGATATCACACGTTTTATTCCACTGAAGTGCTTATCATGCAACTCACCATCTAACACTCCAAATCCTTATATGTTCTGAAAGTGCAATAAGCCGCTTAATAATACAGTCAGATTTCACCATCATCGAATTTCCCATCGTTTCTTGTTTGCAGGTCGTCTATTGCCTGTTTGTTCTGGATGTAATTATCAACGGTTTCATATGAACGAGTCTCATAGTCGTTGGACGGCTAATTTATTGTAAACACATCGCACACCAGATAACCTAACTGTTTAATAGCCTCGTCATATCATCAGGCATGATGCGTTACATGAATACACATGTCACTGACTCTCTTCAGGTGATCTACCTGAAACAGTAATGTCACACTTATATGTTCTTAAAAGGAAAGTCCTCAAAACCCATTCATACAATTAGTATCATCTAATGTTACAGATTTATGCTAAAAATAAAAACACTAAATCCACAAGACAAGTGATTTATACTACTTTATCTAATCAACAAAACATATTGTTTACGGAAGCTGAAACACTTGATTGAAGATTTTGAAGCATTAATAAGTCACATTTGTGAAATCTTCATAATTGCGAATGACAAAATGGCTAGCTAACTTATTCTGATTGATGGGGAATAATCACTGATCTTTTCACACGTCACTGCTGAAGACCTTATCTGTGCGAATTAAATAACATCAATCTCAGAAAATTTGCTTATTCACTACTTCCCATATCATTTGTGATTTGTAAGAGAAGTTAGATATTCCACATGAAATACACATTTGGACACAACCGACATCAATTGACAGAGTCATCCATAATTCCTCTTGTTTGAGTGAAAACAAATAACCCGTGATTTTAGCATGTTCAGGCAAGTGACATTGGTAAACACGATGTAAACAGTGAAAACCTGTTCACTTGATGTTTTCATTTACCTTAACACCAAATGTTCTTCTTGTGATTTATTTATAAATGGATATGCTATTGCCTTGTTATATAGAACTACTTATAATATAAATCTAGTTTAAATAGTCTTTTCTAACTGAATATTGTTCGGCTTGTCCTTCAAAGATAAAACTGACAACAATAAATGTATTTCTTCATTCGAAAAGTAGCACACGAAGACAGACATTAACCATGTAGCATTTTCTCGAAAGCACTTCACATTATCCAATGATTCACTGAGTCCAGATATCTACCAGCTTGTACAAGTGTAGATGCGTTAACCTGAAATAATGGTTTGGATAGTGATATTAGGTCAGAAGACTTCTTAAGAATAGTAGATTTGTGTTTGCCAGTGGAATCTAAGAAACGAGTTCCGTCTCATATGTAACTCATCTGATAGATGTACCTGTATTTCAGTGTCAATGTTTATACCGGAATACAAATGAAGACTGGTCACAATTCAGTCATTATTATCAATAGCGTATAAATCAAATCCTTCATAATAATAATAATAATAATAATAATAATAATAATAATAATAATATTAATATTAATAATAATAATGTAGACAATTTATATCGTGATTTATCCACAGTCACCTCCAATCTTCTCTCATCTCCACCTGTAAGAACTCGTTCAAATAACACCATCTCATTGCGATCTCATATACAAAATTATTACACATTATATTTAATGACTCAATTATGACGAAGAAAAGTACACTGGACAACAATTCTGAATCACATCAATTCTCACTGTTATTCATATACGTTCTTACTGGATCATACCTCTCCCTATATGAATCTTAGTTTATTTTAAATGGTGTCTAACTAATTCCACTCCATGATGAAAATGGATTTTAGAAAGAACTATAATTTATAGATGAATCAATGAGAGTTAGGATAACACATCTTGTATTTTGCCTAGAAATTCATTCATCCGTTTGGCAAAACCATAAATCTAATTATTAAGCTGAACCATCATCTGTAAATCATAATTCTCTATCCTCATCACATTGGTTTATAACGACTGATTGGTCACTGAGTGGTGATCAATGTCGTGCATATCAGGTCGTTTTAATACAGATCCAATTTTATCGACCACCAGTTTAGGTGACTCGACATTGTGACGTTGGTTGATACGGGAGACAAACCGTGCGGGATCACTGATTCCATCAAGATTACTGGCACAGCTTGCTGACAACTGTCAAGTAGAACGATACCTAGGTCCAGGATTTCTTGTTGACTTCATCCAACCACAATATTAACTAGATTATAACCCACATCTCACACTTGTCAGTAGGTGAACATTTGCAAAATCACTTCAGCGTCACTCGAGGCTCTCACCAACACTACGTTTTCCTGGTTGCGTTAGCTAACATGTTATTAGTTATACAATTAAATATGTCCACACTTGAAGGTGCTCCTGTCCTAATACACTCAAACATAGATGATCAATTATGAGTTACATTCTCCTCATAATTCTTTAATTTCATGTCGTAATTTATGTATCATATCAAGTTCAACCATTACAATTCGTAAAGTTCTCATCTTAGTGAGTGATAGCCAAATGCTGTGACGAGGAAATTTCTCAAACCATACATTTGCAACATCTAGGATATGGCAAAATTTATAAGGAATTGTCTTGTGTTCTTCTTCTCAAAGCGATGATACATCATGATAATTATTACTACTGCAACTCGTTTGCAAACTGAATGATTATGCGTTTGGCTCTACTGCACGACTTTTGCGTGAGGTCTAGTGAGATCAGTCGTTTGCTCAAACTGAACTAGGTAAAATGTGGTTTTGATCTGAGCAAGTTATTCTATATTAATCATGAAACTGCAAGACAGTTAAGCGTAGTCAATGAGAAACCCTCACAATTCCAAATACCTGACATAATCCTACTGTTACTTCTGCTCACCCATCCAAACCTCATCTCTTTTTCGTTCACTTTCTTATTGAACATTAAATATATTACTTACTACTATTCAGTAACTTATGTTTCTCTAGTACTATGTGCGATAATAACGTACATTCGCTCACAGGTTTCGTGACACTCAACTGATTTCTTTGTTATTTCAATTTTATCCCCTTCAAATCCATAATAATCTATTTTCATTTCATCCATGTTTATTAAAATCTACTTGATTGAAATACTCCTGATATTTGGTAGTTCAGTTGAAATCGCATTTCCTGAACAAAACATTCAACACAAAATGTTGAAAGGTACATTTGTGTTGGTTGGTATAACAGAATAAACCAAACAGTATAAGCCTCGTTACAATAGAACTGCTTCAGACATCAATTAAACAAGTAGACGTATTCCTGCATATTATCATCCAACAATTTGAGTATTATCATTGGCAATGAAATAACTGCCGTGACACTGAAGGATAACATCATATGTGTAATATCGATACTCAATATGGTTGATACAATTATGCAACACAATAACCGAGTGTAATATTTCAAGTAATGCGAACCAAGTTCACGAATACGAAAGTATACTTGCACTGATAAAATTCATAGAAATTCAATACAGATGGAATAGATCTTATCCACCAGTTGACCGGTGGAGTTATTTTGAACTAATCATAGTTACGCAAT